CTATTAAAAATAGAAGACCTCAAGGCTCTTCTATTGAAAAAAAGAGACCTCAAGGCTCTTCTATTGAAAATAGAAAACTTCAAGGCTCTTCTATTGAAAATAAAAGACCTCAAGGCTCTTCTATTGAAAATAGAAGACCTCTAGGCTCTTCTATTGAAAATAGAAGACCTAAAGGCTCGTCTATTAAAAATAGAAGACCTCATGTTCTTCTATTGAAAATAGAAGACCTCAAGTTCTTCTGTGGACAATATATGATCCCAGGACCTTCTATGGATAATAGATGATCCCAGGTGATTCCTAGGTCTTCTGTAGATAATAGATCATTTCTATATACATATTTTATAGGTCTTTTTTATAGGCCTATAGGATCTTCTTCAGAAGATCATTACAAAAAAAATTCATCTGAAAAAAGCCTAATAAAGTCTATGATTTATTTCAAATCATTCCCTTAGCTGCAATTATAAATTAATTTCTTCTTTTTTTAAATACCAAAAAAAATCTTTTTTTTTTCCTGAAAAAATAATTACAACAACAACTGATATTAATAATAAAAAAAAACATCTGTATTTATTTTCACTGTAATTATTTTACAAAAATTAAAGGTAGTTTTTTAGCCCTTAAGACAATTAAAACCAACTGAAATGAATCCTGTATTTCCTACAAAAATCATAAAATATAAAATTAAGATAAGAAAAATAATTTTTATTATTTGTGTAGTAGAAATTGAAAAACAAAACTCTTTTACATAAATAACAAAACATACTCATAATTGTTGTGGCACAAACGTTGGGCGCCATTTCACATTATGTTTAGATTGATATACATGTGTGTGTAAATAATGAAATATGAAACTGTTATATATTTATATTAAGATAATTGTAGAAAAAAACTAAATGGTATATTATATAAGTGAAACTTCCCCCCCCCCCTTGTATCTATATGAAATAAAAATAGGAAATCTTAAATTAAAAAACCTAACCAAATAAATTTGCGAAAATATTCAAAACTAGTGGTAAGAATTTAGCAAAAGAAAAAAACTGTTTAAAAAACAAACAAAAAATTAGAATAAACTACATCCACATGTTAAACACAAAACCCAAGGAAAAACAAAAAAAAATGAAAAAAATATTTTCTAAAAAAAAATAAATATTGAAAATAAATAAGTCTCACATAGTTAAATATTGAAAAAAAATGAAATAATGAAAAAAACCAAACATAAAATGGAAAATCTATTGTATAACATTCTAAGCCATATTTATATTAAACAAAACAGTAGTTATTTTGTTATATAAAATATTAAGTTTTATACTAATTTCCCCCCTTCTCAACTCCTACTTCACACACAGCATTTATGACAACCATCAAAACCAAATTCAACAACAACGTAAATGAAATGCTCAATTATATTTTAACGCATCTACAAATTCAATCACTCATACATTCAAACATATACATGCAAATATACATATATATTTATTCATCATACTCATATTTAATTGTTAATATTAAAACAAAAAACATTTGTTCAAATTTGATTTTACAATCAAAAAAAGAAAACATGCAACTAATTATTATATACAAAACAAAAACAACAACAAAAACGCATACTTGCATACATAATACAATTCAAATATTATACAAAACAGACATAATAAAAACCCCCATACCATTTAGGATAATAAGTTCGAATAACAAAGTTATAGTTAATAATAAATACAAAAAAATATATATACATAATAATAGAACCGATGATGACAATGTGAAAATGAATGAAAAAAAAACAGAAAAACTGAAAAACTGAAAAACGAACATGAATACTAAAATAGTGAAATGAAAATAAATAAAAAAAGAATTATAAACCAAATTAATGATAAATGTTTTATTTTTCTGCTGGGCACACATGGAGAGGGGAGATCTCTAAAAAGAGGTGGGCGAGAAGGGGATCAAGAGAAGAGAGGGTATTTTTACAAACTTAGACCTAAACTGTCACATAATTTGTTTACAATCTATTTGAAGGAAGTTTCCCATTTGCTAAGGCTATTGGACGATAAAATCAACCCGATTTTTGGTTAAGGAAATCTTTAAATAAGGATTTTTTATATGACCTAAACTAGAAGATGTAAATTTTCCGTTTTCAAATCAAATAATTTTAAATCTCTAAATTTTATAAACGACATTGTGCGAAAAGTGTACATTCTGATACACCCTGTTGTTAATGTAGCCGCATTATCGACAAATTGGTTTATATATTCCATGTATATGTGGCGCCATCTAGTGACAAATAGTAGAGAATATTTATCAACAATGTTCGATTATTAAGTAACGTATCGTACAATTCATTAACATCTCATTTAAAGAAAAAATACAAGTAGTCGCGTCGACATAGCTGATGGGACAATGAGCTGGTAGTTTGTAAAGATATAATTTTTGAAATTTGTAAAAATTATTGAAAAATGCATATTATAACAACATCCGATTGGTGTCGTATAAGAAAAACAAATTTTAAAAATGTTGAATGTTAACAACAGTTGATTCATCTACCTGAACAGTGTGAGATGAAAAATCTGCAAGCAACTTCAGACTGCTGTCATTTCTAAGCCACACGTCCGACAGGTGTTAAATTTATTCCAGTGACAACTAATTATATTGTTTGCAAGCGTACAAAAGAATTTTGGTGAGAATTTTTCAGAATAAAAGTTATTCGTTATGGAATTCAAGCGTTATAGTGTGATTTCTTTATATCTGGAAAACCACAAATGGCTGAATAACTCTTTTTTGTACCATCGCTCGTTACCGTGATACTGGTAGCGTAGCCAGACGTCAAGGAAGTGGACGAATGAAAACAGCAACATCAGCAGAAATGGATCGAAAAGAAAAGAAGCGACTTGATCGAAACCCGAGTCGCAATGGCCAAAAGATGGATCGTGAGCTGAACATATCGCAATATTCCATTCGGCAAATATTGAAATATAAGCTCGGGGTAAAGCCATTTAAATTCCAAAAAGTGTAAGAACTTACACCGCAACATAAAGAACAGAAAATATACTCAAAAGAGCTAAAGAGTTGCTTCGTTTGGCCGAAAGCGGTGAACTGCCGAATTTGGTTCGTAATCCAGCAGTTTCTAAACAAACAAAATTATCGTGTTTATTTGCCAAAGAGGTCAGCTGAAAATGTACACCTTCGATTGACCACCAGAACTCAAGCGCCGGCCATGCTGATGGTGTGGGCCGCCATAACAGTCGGTGATCGCTCTCCGCTCGTATTAATCGACCGTGACATCAGAATAAATGGCGAAAATATTCCGGAGGGTGTATAAAAGCCTTGGACACGCAAACTTTTTGACAGCAGACCTTGGACATTTCAACTGGTCTCAGCACCATCGCACTCAGAACGCACCACCCAAGAATGGTTACAAAATGAGGTTCCTCGATTCATTTTTAGCGCACAATGGCCACCAAAATTTCCGGATACCAGTCCGTTGGACTATTGTGCCTGAAGTATTTTGGAAAGCAAGGTTAGTACTAAAAAATACCAAAGTGTCGATCGCCACAAGCAAGCGCTTAACCGGGAATGGGCCAATCTACCGCAGAGCAATATTCGGGCAGCGTGTGACGGTTTCATTGGCCATAATTCGTGCCAAAGGTGACCAATTCAAACAAATCTAAACTAATTCTAAAATCTGAGGCTATTTCCGACATTTTAGCTTTCATTCAATAAAATTAAAATAAAATATGTAAAACTGATGGCGTTTGACTTTTTTGCAGTTTTTTTATCTCACCCTATCCTAGTCCGAAATTTTTCTAAAGTGTAGAAAAAGGGGTAACTTGCCACGTCTAAACTTTTGAGACGCCGACATAAGTTTCGTCTGTGTTTAGCTCTACTTTTGTAATCTGCAATACAGTTGTCCTCTATATTTAGCTCATCTGCCCCATAATAAATGAAAATATTGAAAAATTGTCGCGTAGTGTAATTTGAAAGTATAATCGTATTCGCAAAGTGTGTTGTTAAAAAGTATGGTCGTATTCGCAAAGTGTACTGTTAGAAAGTATGGTCGTATTCGCAAAGTGTCTTATTAAAAATATGGTCGTGATCGCAAAGTGTCTGTTGAAAGGTATAGCCGTATTCGCAAAGTGTCTTCTTAGAAAGTATGGTCGTATTCGCAATGCGTCTTATACTTTGAAAATGTCCAGTTGGTCCTTGAAAAATATAACTTAAAAATGCATGTTGTTCCTTGAAAACATTAAAAAACACGTCTCGAGGTCCTTCAAAAAATATTCTTAAAAAACACGTTTGATAAATTCATCCTTGAATAACATTCTTAAAAAATACACGTTTAATAAAATGTTATTCCTTGAAAAATAGTTTTTAAAAAATTCCTGCCTAACCCATATTTTGGAAAAAGGACCCAGAAGCTTGAGGGTTAAGATTGTAAAAAAATGACGTCGATATATGTGTCTTCTATTGCTACTCTCAGTATCTGTGGATTTTTTGTGTTGCAAACAAGCAGCCAGAGAATTCTTCTCTTTGCATCTCTGCAATCTCGAGTGGATTTTCAAACCTAATCCGATATACAATAATTTTTCATTCAACATTTTCAATTCCAAAATCAGTTTGACAGTTCATTGTCCAGCAGCAGTGTCGATGCGATCATCTATATTCTTCTACCATGATACAAATACATTATGATAAAAGGCGTGAGTATGAACATGGCACTAGTGTTGCTTATGTTTGCTCTTCAAACAGAAACATCGTCTTCTACTGACTACTAGATGTCACTGAAATAATGTTGATAATGGCGTAAAATACGAAAGGGAAACAGTAGATAATGCAGTTTTTTATAAAGCTCTCAAATTGAAATTAAAAAAACAAAATTGCTGGGGGATTCTGGTACCATTCAACCCGGGAAGTTATTGTAGTAAATTCACGACAAATTTTATTAAATATAACAAACACTTACCTCATTGTAGTTCTCCTCATTTGAATAAAAAAACCAACACTCATTGCTTTATAAAAATACATGTTAATTATTGTTGTTTATTTTTTGTTTATTGTATTTTAAGCGAAGAAAAATAATAGAAACAATGGTAACAACAAACAAAGGTTTTTAGAAATTTTCTGTTAAAATCGTAACAAATACAATTTAAATATTTGCGCTTATTTACACTGAAGTAAATTAGAAGAAGAAATGTTTTGTTTAGTTAATATTTTTTGCATTTTGTTGTTGTTGGAAAAATATTGTCCTTTTAACTTGAGAGTTATTAGTTTTTTTTTTCGTTTTTCTTTGTATAGATTGTTTATATAAAAATTGACAGGGGTTGTTGATGATTTGGGGATGTTGGGTAAGCTTATAAAAATGTTTGTTTTTTTACAATTTATATTTATTTTTTATTTTTTTTTATTAAAAAAAACATTAAAACAAAAAAACTAATTGGCCTCAGTTGTGTAGAAAAGTGAGTTTATCATATACTTTGGCGACGGCGGCTGGCTACTACTGCTATTGCTGGGCAATGGGCGTGGCTGTATTGACATTCGTTGTTGGCACACCTCCACCATGTTGTTTGTTAAGCTCCTCGGCCGATATGAACTCAATGGCGGCTGAATTGATGCAATAACGTTTACGTGTTGGCTTCGGTCCATCCTCGAATACATGGCCCATGTGGGCGTTGCAACGGGCGCAGCGTACCTCTGTGCGTATGCGTTCTGGATGTTTAATTAGTAGTAAAATATTACCCCCTTTTAGTATTGGCATTTTTTTTTGGATTTAGCAAAGAATTTGTTTTTTTTTTTGCGTTTCATGATAGTTTAATAGCAAATAGTTAATTGTTGTTTATAGCATTTTTAAGGAATATTTGGTAACAAAAGTTTTTTTGTTTTGTAATGTTTTTACAATATTGTTTTGCAGAGAGTGTTTAAAAATTTCAATTTGAAATTATTTATAAATTTGTTTTGCACAAATTATTAGATATTAAGAGAGCGAGAGCGTGATTGAAAGAACAATTGCGATTTGGGTTAAAATATTTATTTTTGTTTGATTTTTGTTTTGGATTAGTTTTGACATAAAAGAAAAACAGGAACAAAAATTGCAAAATGATTGATTGATTGTAGGAATATTAGAGAAAAAAAAAGAAACAATAAATCAAGGAAACAGTAAGTGAAGGGAACACAACCCAAAGATGTTTTTGGGAAGGGCAACAGGGGACAAACAAGTAACAAATATAAAGAATGGAGTTAACAAAAATAAAAAAATTAACGAGAAAATAAATAAAAGTAAAAAATAAAAAAAAATAATATATAAAATATAAAAAAATAAAATAAATGCAAATAAACAAATTGATAGGAAAAACAATAAAAAATATTTAAAATATAGAATAGAAGAAGGTATAAAAATATATAAAGTGTTTATAGTTATTAAATCATATAACAATAAGATAAAAAATTAAATACACATAAATATTAAAAAATAGTAATGATTATAAAAAATATATTATATAAAAATTATTACGAAAATAATAATTTTTACAATAATATAGAATAGTATAATAATATTAATAATAATAATAATGATAATAATATTAACAAAAATAACAATAATAATAATAATAATGTTAAGTTATTATATACAAATTATAACAAATATAAAAATAATAATATTTTAATATTACATAAATTATTTGTAAAAAGAACAAAAAATAATAAAAAAAAATATAATAATTATAATAAAATTAATTTAAATATAGTAAGCGTGAAGTGTATAAAGAACAAAATAAACATTATTATACAAATATACCATGATGGTTTCAAAATTATAATAAAAATATATTAATTTAAAAAATAAAATATAAAATTAAAAATTATTTATTATAAAAATATTTATTTTTAAATAAAATATTTAAATAATTTTAAATATAAAAATAAATATTATTATTAAATATAATTTATATAAATATAAATATTATTTCAAAATTATAACAGCAATAAAATATGTAGTAATAGTAAACATAAATATTATTATAAAATAATACAAAATATTTTGATATAATAAATATAATTTATATTAATATAAAAAATTAGTATTTTAAGCATTTTATTAAATATTATTTCAAAATTATAACAGCAATTTAAATAAAAAATTATAAATTATCATTTTTTAATTAAAAAGCAAATATTTATTTGAAAAATAAAATATTTTAAAAATAAATAAATAAAAAATCAAATAGATAATAAATTAAAAATATAAAATGAACAAATATATTTTTTTATAAATCCAAAAAAATAAGTATAAAAAATCAAAAATTATTTAATGTTATATAAATAACAAAAAATAATATTAATAGAGAATTTGAAAAAGGAATTTCAAAATAATAAAAAAATTAAAAAAAATATAAATATAAGTTCATAAAAAAATATTTAGAAATAAAAAAATATGAAAACATAATTTAAAAATAAATTTTAAAACCATGAAAAAAATAAAAATATTTTTTTATAAAAATTCAAAAATTATTTAATGGTATGCAAATGACAAAAAAATAATAGTTTTTGATAATGTAAAAATATAATTTCATAATAATATGTATAAAAATAAATAAACATATTAAAAATAATTAAAAAATACATTTTTAAAACATAAAAAAATATTTAATAATAAATAAAAATAAAATTGTATTGTAAACATATATTTTAAATAATTTTATATTATGGGAAAAATAGTAGTTATATTATAATACATTATAAAGTAATGTAAATATAAACAATTTAAATATTGAAATATAAAATATTATTGTAAAAATTCAAAAATAATTTAATGTTATATTGGTGCCAAAATAATAATAGTTATTGATAATGTAAAAATAATAATATTTAAATTATAACAAAAATAAAAAAATATTTCATAAAAATATATTAAAAATTAAATAAAAATATAAAAAGATAATTAAAAAATACATTTTTAAACCATAAAAAAATAAAAAATAAATATTTAAAAATAAAATGATATCGTTAAAACATATTTAAAACAATTTTATATTATGGGAAAAAATAGTTATTTTTTAATAAATTATAAAATAATGTAAATATACAAATTTTAAAACATTGAAATAGATATTGAAAAATAAAATATTATTATAAAAATTTAAAGATAATTTAATGTTATAGTTATTGAGAATTTGAAAAACGAATTTTAAAATTATAACAAAAATAAAAAATATATGATTATAATTTCATAAAAATATATTAAAAATAAATAAATTATGAAAGGATAATAAAATAAAAAAATTAAATGTTAAAACAATAAAAAAAAATAAAAAAAAATTAATTATATCGTAAAAATATATTTTAAAGAGTATTATGAGAAATATAGTATTTTTTTAATAAATTAAAAAATAATGTAAATATTAAAAATTTTAAACATTGCAACAAAATAAAATAAATAAATAAGTTAATTAAAAAATAATGTAAATATTGAAATGTTAAATATTGAAATATATTTTGATATATAAAATAAAATAAAAAATTAAAATTAATTAAAAAATAATAAAGAAATAAACACAAAAAGAATATAATCAAAGTAAAACGGAAAACAATTGCCAAAAATAAAATATGCCATAGATATCAACCAAGCCAAGTGAAATGGAATGAAATTATGAATTTGAGTGAAATGAAGAGTGAAAATGTGAAATGAAATGTGAATGTGAACACCACAGTAAAAGCCAAAAAATATATAAATTCACAACAAATCAAAAAGGAATGTGTACAAAAAATTATATAAATAAGATGAAAGGCAAAGTGAAGAGAATACAATTTCAATTAGTTTTATGTGGATTAAATGAGATATATAATGAGGTTTTTTTATTTCAGTTAAAATGGAATCAATGATTTTTGTATCATTTTACAAAGTTTTATATAATTCAAAGCAAGTTTTTAATTAACAAATTAATTGTTTTATTATTATAAGCCAAAAAACAAACAATGAAATGCAATGATTTTAAGCATTATCATAAAATATTTTAGTTTTTTTTATTAATTTTTTTTTTAAATATTTTTTTGTTTATTTTTTATTATTGCAGATGTTGGGAATTTATGTAGCATGGTTTGTTCATATATATAAATATATTTTTTTTGTTGTTGATGTTTTTGAGTGTGAGTTGTAATAGTGGTTGTTTGTTTGTTTGTTTATACCCCCCACAGCATATAAAAACAGGCACATTTATATAAAAAGCAGGAAAAAAAGAAATAGAAAAATACACAAAAAATAATTTATTATTGATTTTTGTCGTTTTTTTGGAATATATGTATGTTTGTATATTTAAAATGGTTTGTTTCTTAATATTTCCTAAGACTAAGATTTAAAATTAAAAAAAACGCATTTTTTCCTTTCTTGTAGCTAGTAACATAGGAAATACATGACAAAGTAAATAACATCAACACCAAAGCAAATTAAAACAAAAAACCATTTAACAAAAAAAAAACATGTTCAGCCAGAACTTTTTGATATGTGTCTATTGAGATGTTTCTTTGTTTGGTAATTGGTATAAAAACTACAAGTTTGTTTTCGATTCTATACATCAGAAATTAAGCTATTGGTCTAAGGTAATAAGTGAATACTCAACAAGTTACACAGTTCAGGCGGGCCGAACCCTTTACTATTTAGAAGAACTTTGCAGAATTAACAAGTAAAAAAGCTGCAAGTTCGGTCGGGCCGAACTTTGAATACCCTCCACCATATTGAACGATTTTGGCAATTTTCAAAAAAAAAAAATAGAACCCTTTAAAAATTCTCTTAAAAATCGTAAAAATACCGAATGTAGCCGTTATATTAGGGTCTATACGACGACGGGACCTGCATTGGCAACATTTGTCATAAGCCATTACAATATTCAAATGCGAAATTTGAAAAAAAATCGATGAATAATGTCGCTAAAATCATCAAAATACTAAACATCCGGAGGTATCGTTACATGGTGGCTATAAGAAGACGTGGACCTGCACAGACAATTTTTTTCTTAGGCTTAGTATCCACTACGAACTTCAAATAGCAAATTTGAAACAATTCCGGAGAATAATGTCGCTAAAATCATCAAAAGTACCGAATATCGGGAGGTATCGGTATGTGGTGGCTATACGAAGACGTGGACCTGCACATACAATTTTCTGTCATAGGCTGTTGTATCCATTATGAACTTCAAATGCCAAATTTGAAACATTTCCGGAGAATAATGTCGCTAAAATCATCAGAATACGAAATATCGGGAGGTATCGTTATATGGGTTCTATACGAAGATTTGGACCTCCACGGACAATTTTCTGTCATAGACTGTAATAACCATTACGAACATCAAATACCAATTTTGAAACAATTCCGGTGAATAATGTCGCTAAAATCATCAAAATACCAAATATCGGGAGGTACCATTATTTGAGGGCTATGCGAAGATGTGGGGCTGCAGAGATAATTTTCTGTCATAGGCTGTAATATCCTTTACAAACTTCAAATACCAAATTTGAAACAATTTAAGAGAATAATGTCGCTTAAATAACCAAAATACCGAATATCGGGAAATACCGTTATATGGAGACTATACCAAAACGTGGACCTACGTGGCATTACATAAAGTCCTGCATTTGAGTAAAAATTTATCAACCTACTTCATTTCGTTCGGTAGCTAGAGTGATTTCCACAGACAGACAGACGGACGGACAGCGCTAAATCGACATAGAATTGTATGCTGATCAAGAATATATATACTTTGTGGGGTCTAAAATGTATATTTGTAGGTGTTGCAAACGGAATGACAAACTTAATATACCCTCCATACTATGGTGGAGGGTATAAAAATATGACTAAAACAGCCAAAAACCCTTAAACCTGCGAAAAAAGTTATATGGAGCCTTTATCAAAATGTGGACTTATATGGTCCATTTTCAATACCACAAGTTCTATGGATCTTAAATGCAACTCAGTAGAATTTCTTCAACCTACTACATTTCGTTCGGAAGCTGAAGTGCTTTCCACAGACGCAAAGACGGATGGACATGGCTACAGTGACTTCTATGAAATTTTTAAAATTCCTCCCATAAACTGAACATTCAGAATATCTGTTAATAAAAATCATATAATTTGTTGTTCAGATACATATTTATCAGATACTCTCTTAAACGATAGAAATATATCAGAAATAAATACTCATTTTTATACCCTACACCACAAGTTGGTCAGGGTATTGTGTCTTTATGCATTTGTTTGTAACAGACAATAGGAAACGAGATAGACCCATAGTTCCTTTTGATGATTGCATAGAATCACATTCTGAGTCGATTTATGCATGTCCTTCCGTCTGTCCCTCCGTCTGTCTAAACTTTAGAGAGATCGGTTGATATTTGGACATATCTCCCATATTCGTCCGATTTGCCTTTTATTGTGCACCAAACGTGTAATATTTGGCCAAATGGAATGGAATTTGGCACTTACGACCAAATCTGGTCTAGAAACCAGTATGTCACATTTGGTGGAAATCGGTTCAGATATAGCTATAGCTCCCATATATATTCTTCATCAGATTTGTTGAATTTGCCCAACATAGCCGTAAATTCCCCATTAATACTTTTATTTGTTATGTGAAGCTCTACTAAATCCAAAGTGGTGTAGGGCCCGGCCGACTTTCTTTACTGGTTTGGAATGTATTCGAATACAATAACATCCATCTGGAGGTAATTTAGCCTACATAAATATACATATGTTAATACAACTTAAAATACTTCTTAATAACATAATACAATTTACTTTTTATGTAAAAACAATATTTTTTTTTTATTTCTAACAATGCTAAGGAGATTTCTGAATGTCCCTTTTGTCAGCAAACTGAATTTTTTAACCCTTCTTCTTCAAATTAAATTCAATACACCCCCCTACTTCAATGTTAGTATTCACAAACTTATTACCAAAAACCAAAAAGATGATCGAGCGCTAAGTTATGATAGATTCAAATGCTCAGCATGACACACCACCAATCACAAATGGGAAAAGTAAAGCCAAAATGTAGGAGCAACAACAATGCATGAAGGAAAACTGACAAAATGTTTAGATGAGTCATGACAAGAAATAGGAGATGTGGAAATATTCATAATGACAACAATGACAAATGAAATAAAACAAATTTCAAATCCGTAATTTTTATTCAGACTTGGGCGCATATTTATATATATAGGAGCACTCTTAACAATTTCTATTTGATATACAAATGTGTTACAACACTTTCTTCATTTCGTTTTTCTTTTTAACAAACATAGAGATACATCATAAGTACATAATTTAAGATTATTATTGTTCAATGGATGTTCTAAATCAGATCGATAATTAACAAAATCCAATTTGAAAAAAACTTATTTCTTGGATGATTGATTATTTGTATGGGGGCCAGCAGCTGCAGCTTGTTTTTGGCCCGGAGTATTGTTGGTGGTGCCATTTGCATTTGGCCCTGACGATGACTTTGTGGCTGAAGCAGCAGAAGAAGACGATGACGAAGCTGATGAGGAATTTGCCGGTGGCTTGTACGGCACAAAGTCAATAGAAGCCGAATTGATGCAATAGCGTAGATATTTAGGCGCAGGACCATCATCAAACACATGACCCATATGAGCACTGCATTTGGAACAACGCACCTCGGTGCGTACCATGCCTAGCATTTTTGAAATGACTACTATTGTTTTAAAACAGTTTTTTTTGGAATTTAATAAAATTAAAATTAAATCAAATAAAAAAAAATGTAAAAAGAGGATAAAGAAAAACCAAAACAAGGTAATGGTGGAAAATCATAGAATTCAGAAACAATAAAAATTGCCATCATATTTTTTTGTTGTTGTATTAAATTTCCGTTTTTCAGATACAAGAAAACAAGAAAAAGTAAAGAAGAAAAGTTTTTTAATCAATATTAGAAGAGTTGATCAAATTGTTGTGTAAAAGATTTCACTACTTGATATTTTACTAAATATGATTTTTTTTTTGGTTTTTCATTACATCAAACATGTCATCATCATCATCAAACAAACTTGATTAGTTAGTACAAATACAACACAAACACAGTACAGTACAGGAGGTTAGTTTAGTTTTTGTTTTTCTGGGTTTCCACAAACACAATACACAATTGGAAGGTAACAAAAAACAGCGTAACAAACATTTCTTATCACTACAACCTATGGCGGCAATGAGAGTTTGAAAGTTTTACATTCCTTAGAAATTTTGAAATAAGCTGAAGCTTTGACAAAAGAACTCTTAATAGACAACAAACTCTTAAAAAAAAAACTCTACATAGACTGAATGGACAAAACAATCGAAATATAATAATAAAAACAACAAACACAAAACATTTTGCAAATAATTGTTTCTTTTTCTTCTTTGGGAATTTATCGCAGAAAATAATCGAAAAATGGAAATAAAAAAATATATGGGCAAAACAAAATTGAAAAATTTTCCTTAGAGCGATCAGTGGTTTCAAATCAAAAAGAAGTGGAGATATCTATCTACTCTATTTTTTATTAAATGTTCATAGAAACAGTGGAAGCCTAGGGACTTTAAATGTCGAATAAAAATGAATCTAATAACATTTTGAAAAGCATGCCTCAAATTGGTGACTTTCTTAGGCATTAATTTTCTGTTGACGTACATAAATGGCCCCATAGTTGGAAATTGCAAATTATTGGAAAATGTGCAAATATGCGTGAGGTAACAGATAAAAGTATGGAAAATTATGACTTTTTGTGAGTGAGGTACCAGATGGGATTCGCAGATATATCATCTTCACAACAGATCTTGCGTTATCAAAAATATTTTTATGTGAACATTTTAAGAGAGTTGGATGCTTATTTCGCTTTCTTTTATCGTTTTATTTTTGAAAAACTCTTCGACCCTATGTAGAGTAGGTACCAGAAGATATGGTCCGATCTGTACCATCTTTATAACAGATCTTGTGTTTATGGAAATATTGAGATGCACCAAATCTGAAGGGAATCGGATAATATTTTTATGAGCTTCGTGGCTATTCAAAATTTTGACCCGTTGTATGGGAGGTACCAGAAGGAGTGGACCGATATATCCCATTTTCACGCCAGACCAGTATTAATGAAAATATTGTGATGTGTGTAATTTGAAGGGAACCCTATGCTTATTTCAGATTTTATGATCGTTTTCTGCTATTCAAAATGGTGACCCTTTGTGGAGGAGGTAGCAGAATGAATGGTCCAATCTCTAGCATCTTTTTAACAGGTCTTGTATTGATAGAGATATAGAGATGTGTCATGTCTACATGGAATCATGAATATTCAACATTTTGATCCTTTGTGGGGAAGGTACCAGGAGGAGTGGACCGATATTGTTCATTTTCGCACCTGACCTAGCATTGATGCAAATATAAGAATTCGCAAAGTTCGGATTATCTTTTCTCTTTCTGTGCAGTAAATTATTTTCTTTAAAAATGTTGTCATCTTGTTTGGGAGGTACCAGAAGGAATGGACTGATATTCCCCATCTCCGAACTCGATCTAAGTTTGACAATAATATCACGATATACCAAGTTTGGATCAAATCGGATACCCCCTTCGAGGTCGACTCCAAATGTCCTGAATCGGATTTGGTCCAAAGAGACCTAGGATATAAACCATTATTTCTCCAGCCATATGGCTGGGGGTATAATTAGTGGGAAATATTTTAAAACTGGTAATACACCTTTTAAATCTATGCAAAATTCTCCGGAAAGTTTCTTCATCTTAAATCTGCCCATATTACTTCCGGTTTCTTAACATGATGTAAGTCCGTTAATTGCTTCTTTAACGTTTCTCCACTTTTTCTTTAGGTTCAACAAGATATCTTTATCCGCTCCCTAAGTGCTGCCAGAAATGACTCTTGAGCTATGATTATTTTTATGAAATTGGCAAGCGGACAGACCTTTGGAGATAAATATCTCAACACCTTTCAAACCTGTCCATTGCTTTATCGGGTAGTTCCCCCAACACTTTGTAAATCTATTCACATTTCTCCCTCGAGAAGTTTTACAAAATGATTATCTCGATTTTGTATGCATTCTGAAAATGTTTAGCATTATTTTCATTTGAAAATTTCTAATTACAGGCTAACTAACTCCTATTATGTTTAGTTTCCGGAGAAGTTTCTCTCAATATTTCCTTTCAATCTTCCTTTATTTTGTATCCCTTCTTAAACCCCTTCTGCATTGCCTATACTTAATTTTTTCTTTGAAGTACCTTTCCTTGACACTCATTTGATTTGAAACCACTATGCATCGCCATTGTTGTTCTTTACTATGGAAAGAAAAAAAGCTATAACTAAAACGAATTAAATAATAATGGTAATAAAAAACAATATATCAAACCTCATCATAGAAATATGATTCCAATATTTTTGTTTATATACAAACTCAAGAGTAACTCTTTAACAAAACTCTTGGATAGATGGGTATCTGCTTCGCTACATACCTGGTATACTGGCATCACGATGTAAAGTAATTTTGCCCTTATCTAAGACATCATTGAAAGCAGGCCAACCACAACCGGAATCATATTTTGTATCCGAACTAAACAGGTCCTGGTGACACACTATGCATTGGTAGACACCCTTTTCATAGTGTTTGTTGTAACAACCTAGAAAGGAAAGAACATTTAATTAGAATTTATTGGAATAAGGTTAAAAAAACATTATTTTGTGTAGAATTTTTGGAAGCTAGACAACTTTATTATTTGATAATCCTTTTGTTAGAAATTTAGTAAATATTAATCTAAAAGTTTTTGGTAGAAGTTTTGATTTATTCGTTTTTTAAGAGCCTTTAAGATCTAGGGACCTTGAGGTGTTCTCTTGTCCTAGAAGACCTTAAGGACTTTTGTTGTCCATAGAAGAGCTTGAGGTCTTCTATTGTCCATAGAAGAGCTTGAGGTCTTCTAGTGTCCATAGAAGAGCTTGAGGTCTTCTAGTGTCCATAGAAGAGCTTGAGGTCTTCTAGTGTCCATAGAAGAGCTTGAGGTCTTTTATTGTCCACTGAAGAGCTGAAGGTCTTCTATTGCCAATAGAAGAGCTTGAGGTCTTTTTTTTTTTTTTTCTTAGATATCCACAAGACAAAGGAAATTATACATTTTTTTAATTCTCTAAAGCCATTTGGGTTTCAAGGTTCTGCAAATCATTTACAGCCAATTTTCCCATGATAGAGAATGATACGTCATCCCGACGCTTTGAATGCTTAAGAGGCTTACGGGTAATTATTTCAAATATAAATTTAATATTCATTCAGGATACAGTTGCATGCATAAAATCCAAATGCAACGCCTCACCGCCATAACATCAAAGTATGCATCCATTTGGAATACAAATAAGATTTATAAAACTTAGCTATTTACTGAAACAGCATTATCATTCAAAACAATTATCTAAACAAATGAAAGCCGACGCAACAGTCTCAGTGCTATGTTTATCTAATCACATTCCTGAAAAATGAAATTAACATCACAAGACGTATTTGCTGCTCTAGAAAAATTCATTGTCATCATTTCTTCTAAATAATACTACACAGAATAAACAGCCATACTATTTACCTGTAAACGGTCTCTCGGTAGCTGCCTCTTGGGTAACTTGATATTGTAAAGGTGTCAAGCGTTTCCTGAGCTCCTCCTTATCAACGGCAACTTTTTCTGTTTTATTTTCCATTTTATTGTGGGAATCTGAAACAAACAAAAATTATATAAATATAACCTTTTCATGCAAATTCGGGGAGGGGGTGTTCATAGATTTGGCTAGACATTCCTCAAGTTCATTGTCATAAACATTCAACCACATAACGTAATTGTTGTACAGTCTGAAATTATTTTGTGGCCATAAATTAACTATAAATTAAAGGTAGTTGCAAAATTGAGATTAGTTTTAGTGTATGGCTGCTATAATCTTACACTTTAGATAAGAAACAAAGATTAGGGTTTACCAAACTCAAACATGGAAATCATTTGGCAAAATCACGAAATCAACAACATACCACTCCACACTACCAGACTGTTAATCAGTTATTGAAGTTATTTATAGTGGAATAATTATCTTAATGTGTAAATTAAGATGAAAAGCATAAGTATTAAATACAATGCCTATTTGGAAAAACCTAAACATTTTCCAAAAAAAGTACCAATTTTCAACTACATTTTTCTATCAAAATACAAACACTCAAGTTAGGCGCAAAAAAAATCACTGAAGTGTGACCCAAATTTATTAAAAAGCGCCAAGTGTGTATGTGCGTGTGCGCCTCTGCCGTATCTTTTCATCAGTTTGTCGATAAGCACTGGCAGTTTATTAACAGCCAGCAATACTGTTCACTGCTAGTAGCTCTAATTAATTGAATTTTGAACAAAACAGATTGCCAATTAATCAATTCAAAAATGCACGATCAACAAATGAAATTTGCGCAAAGTTCATTTATGAAAAAAAAGAGTTCAATTGTAATGGAAGAATGATACAAACAACCAAAATGCCAGAAATTTTAAACAATCTCTTCAGCATAACACATCATCATACGCGAGGAGAGGTTAAAGTTGAAAGCAATAAAATTTAAAAATAAAAAATACGTATTTTTTTTTTCCTTATCACAAAAAGTTCAGAGTGTCATCACTAAATTCATCTTCAATTAGAAGGAATCACAGATAAATTTAAATGGAAAACAAGTTCTCAACAATAAGCATCTAAATTGGTTGTGTTCATTTAGGTGGTGGGAATGACACTCAATAACTGAAAGAATAGACAATTTGCTGAGGTTACGAATTAAGGGTGGTACTTTTACACCAACGTCCAGGGTTGAGAAAAGTGCGAAGATCGGATGTTATGAAGTCGGTTGATGCCTGTTTTATTTTGAATGTGTTTCCTTGGCTAATCTGGACGTGTAAATCCTTCCTGTTTACGCCTCTGCCGGGGAGTTATATACACCACGTGATGGTTTGAATACCCTAGAAGGCACTGCAACGAAGCATATTACGACATACTGAAACATCTCCGTGGTCCATTCTTCCATTTTTCACGTAGTTCTCAAGACGGCGTTCCGGTAGTTCTTCATTTTATAATACTGATAGTAGTAGACCTTACTGATGTTATAGATAACTTGGGCGAATGATTTAAACATGCTGTCGAATGTATCCACAAGTACTATGGGGATAATTAAAGGTTAGAATTGCCTTTTGTAGTCCTACTGGTGATAGATTTCGCTATGGGGTATCCTGGAGTCTATATTCTGACTTTTTTGTCTAGCATGGCAGACATGGATTGGATTATGTCAAAATTCTGAGATATTTCTGCTCAAATGTGGAGTCGCATTATCAACCGGGTAGCTGTTCAACAGAAAGTTAGGCGTTTTAGATAAGATTTAGTACCCATATTTCGGTGTAGGTACTCACGTACTCATGAGCACATATGTCCTTATGCTTGGCAGGCTAACCATCATCTCGTATATTGAAGAGTTCTATTCGAAAGTTTTTCAGCAAAGGCAATCTACAGAGTATATTTCTGCATCGCCAAAACTGCAGGTTCCGATTGCAGAAAATCATCCACAAATAATCTCAAGAAAACAAGATTTTTCTTTAAATCAAGTTAACAAACAGATATATATTCGGCGATATATATGCATGTTCTTCTGAACGCAACAATAACTATGGTGGTACGTATGCGTCGATTAAAGTATTTGATACAACGTATTTCTTTTCGCTTCGTCCGTGGTGCACTCGACGAACTGACGATTACCAATACACACACCACTTGGATCAGTCACCTTTGCCTTGTTAAAAAAGGTTACTAACCTATCATATTTTTTCTAAGGATTCGAGATCGATTTGACTACAGACCAGAGTTTACTGATATAAATGCTACTCAAATGTTTCTGATATTTTTCCGTCAATGCTCCTTCAAACATTTTTTGATATCTATTGTCGGTTTCTGTATTCAGAAGGGTTGGACCTCCAAAGATTATGACGCTGGCATCGCTGAGAATTTAAGCAAAAACTGCAGCTGTGATGACTTCTGGGAAAAGTCAAATAGGATGGCATTTCTCTGTAACGACGTTTTGTAAACTCCCTCGATTAAGGCGATTCCTTGGTAAGGGATTTATGAAATATCACGTAGTATAATTCTATTAGTACGCTCATGTAAATCTCAGAAGTTTACAGGTTGACTGTCGGTGGAAAGTAGTAACAGTCACTACACAAATTGGTTAGTTTAGGACCTAAAATTACATAGTTATTATTGGTTGGAATAACATTTGCTCCATATTTCGATATTTGAGTATAGGCTCCTTCAATTTCAAAAATATATCTTACCTAACCTAGATCAGAGGCTGGTAAAATATAACATTGCACTTTCTATCTAGCGATATAATTCGCATTAGTTTGTGAGGTTTCAATGGCTTATTGGGGACGCAAATAAACAGGCATATTGTTTGCTGAAAATAAAACAATGTCTTCTTCCGCCATTAAATTTTCCATTTAGCAGACGACACCTTTTTGATTTTAGGAACGATAAAGTTTTTGAATCTAGATTTGGTGGATAAGCACATAAAAGACCACAGAAATTTGTTGGCAATAGCCTTAGCTTGATTTCGACATTAGGCCCATTACTACGACATCTGTCATTCATTTATTTGAATTTGCAATATCTAACATAGTCTTAATTCTTAATATTTGCTTGCAAATATTTTGATCAATAAACTTTCGAAATATATTAAGATTTATACCTATATTAACAACAACTGGATGTATTGTTTACCCAAGTGTTTGCATATCACGAAAATCTCTGCGCATTTAATGTGCAACACACTAAACAAATCACACATACAAAAATTCCCCAGACAAATGGCAAATATACATAAACAGCTATTTCCCAAAATGTATAATAAACAATTCAATGATCGAATTGATATAAATGGTTGTTTGCATCATTAAATCCATACACAATTGAAATTTCAATAGTTGGTTGGTTGGATCGCCACCCAACAAACCACCCGCCACCCTTCATGGAGGCCATCCGCCACACTACACTCGTCGGACAATTGAGTGGGTGGAGCGCACAAAACAATAATAAAACCTAAAAGAAAGAATTTCGTAACAAAAAATATAAACAAAAACAAAACTTAAAACAAATACGCATTGGGGTCTATAGATAGTTGTATTTTTTTGAGGGCAATTACAAATGAAAAATTGTGAAATAAACAGAACACTTACATACCTGACGAACAGAAACAACGAGTTGGTGTCAAAAGGAAGGCAGAAGAGGGCAACGATGTTGCAAAGTGCCGGCCGAGTGGGGACGAGGATTTTGAGGCCAATGAGACGACAGGAAGCAAAAATAACGCAATGCGACGACTACTGCCAAGAGGAAATAAGATTTGATTTATTGCCGTGGTACTTAAAGAAGCCAACGAGCCGACGACGCCACCGTTGCCGCCAACAATTTTGGGTGTGTTACGAAGAAAAAGTGAAAGCATTTTCTTTGCTTTTGCTTCTTGACAATTATTTTTATGTAGTAGTTAGTTTTTTGGACTCAAATCTGATGACAGTTAACTATTTGTGGTGACGTTTATAACACGAAGATGCTCGCCCTATGTGGTTGGTTGATTGCAACAATATTTGAAAAAACCACAATGATACTTGATATGCAATTAAAAGACTGCACTGTACTTGTTTTATGTCAATCAAAAGTGTTGATTATTCAACACCAAGTATTTTACAAATAAGTGTTGCAAGAGAACTGCTGGCCAACTAACGTCACTATGTGATTTATAAAACTGTATAGGGACAAAATGTCAATGGAAATGAGAACAAGTGCAAAGCACAAACCAAATGAGAAGAACAATTTTAACCACACAGAGATAAATAGCACTCAGACTCTCTTCCTTGAGGAGAGCATGTCATTGCAAATGCAAAGTGTCAAAATCATAGCAAATAAACCAATGAATGAAGGAAATTCATGAAATAAACTAAAACAACAACTAAATGAAATAATGAAAAAATACAACCTCTTTACCACCGGACAGACAGACATCAACAACACTTAGCGCACAGGGGAGAAAGCTAGAGGCCTAATACCATCAAATGCAGCTGCTGCCGTCTGAAAATATACAACAAACACCTTCCTTCCTTTCCGCACCACACACAATCAACAAAAACAACACCTAACGGAAATCGATTGTATTCTTTTCGAGGCTATTTTTAAACATTTTTAGTTTTTCATATTCTTCTTTTTGTTTTTCCTTATGAATTATTCATTTAGAAATTCACACAACACCTGAATGATGGAATCTACTCATTCATCCATTCCAGGGTGTTGCTACATAAATTTAATCAATTCATAGTTTTAAAATGGAATTTTCAAACAAGTTGTTTCACATTGCCAAGTTAAATATGATTTTCATTAACAACAACTGCACCCATGTACACACATAAATATATACAATGGGATACGCAATTGTCAACTGTCCTTGATATTGGCACCCATTCCATATTATCCAATAGCACAATCTTATTGGATTTTGGCTTTACAACCTTCAAATTGTTTTCATTAATTTTTTATATTAGTTTAACTCACTATTTTCTATTTATTTCTTAATTTATTTTCTCTTGGCACACACCACACACACACACACGTTCACAACACAACAATATCTTTCTTATTAAATAAGGCAACGAAATTACTTTTTTATAACTTTTCCCGCAGATGTAACTAATAGATTTTATGCCGATGAAACTCAAACTGCCTGCACTCAAAAAATAAAATGAGAAATAGGTTGTTGTTGTTGATAGGTGAGAATTTTAAAGAGAGTTGCCAATTTATAAGAAACAATAATCAGCTGTTTTATATTTTAAAGGCGCGGCATTAATGATAACGGATGGCATGCGACATAATCTGATATTTTTGCATATAACAGCGGCTTTACACAAAACATTTTTATATTGACTTGCAAAATCTCAAGAAATCCGGGGGTTTTATACCGAATCTTTGGACTTTAGAAGCTGATGTTTGTGAGGTTTACAACACGGAGATGCGCGTACTGTGAGATTGGTAGATTACAACAATATATTCAAAAAATAACTTCAATGATAGAATATTTACCAATAAAAGATTGAATTATACATATATTATGTGAAAACTAATTTTCAAAGTAGGCCAATTGCAATCACCATGATAAAATTAAGAAGGTAACATGGTAGAAGAAAACAGGCAATCGCATCGACACTGCTGCTGGGACAATGAACTGTCAAATTGATTTTGGAATTGAAAATGTTGAATGAAAAATTATTGAAATTTGTAAAAATTATTGAAAAATGCATATTATAACAACCGCCGATTTACGTCGCATAAGAAAACATTTTAAAATATACTTATTTTTGATAAAACATTTTAAAAATGTTGACATACCAATGTTCCCATGCGTTGATGCATCTACTTATATTCTTCTACCATGGAAGGTAAAGTCATTTCAAACAAAAATATCCATCTCTGCATTTTCTGTAATGTATCTTGTCCAATTTTACTGTATAGAATACAGATTCCCATCTCTGATTTCTGTATATACAATGGATTTGTAAACATAAATTTTGACAACGACATGTTGTCAAAAAAAAAAAAAAATGAAAAATTGTAAACATATAACTACATGACTTTACCTTCTTAATGCTACCATTACCATCACCTAAATACAATATTTTTTCTAGTGGTAGTCTTGGGAGTATCAATTTTTGAATTTCGGGATGAAGAAAAAAATCTGTGAGGTTTCTTTTCACAAGTTTCTTCTAAATTAAAATGTTGTTATAAAAGGTGTTAGGATTAGGGTTTGGTAGCGTGTTGTTTTTGGAGATGATCGTTAAATACTTGGGTAATGAAATGAACAAGATGAATTACAGAAAATGCAGAGATGGGTACGCTTATTTGACCTTCTTAATACCTTCTTAATTTTATCATGTTTATGAGTATTGTTGAAGCGTAATAATGAGAACGTTCGACCTTAACAGAGAATTTACCTTGTCAAATTTCACTGTAAAGAAAACAGATTCCCATCTCTGATATGTGTGTATATAATGAATTTGAAAATATAAATTTTGACAATGAGATGAATAATTTCGAAGAAAAATTTTAAACATATGGTTATCTTCTTAATTCTACCATGAGTTTCAAGTAAAAAGTTTCAAAAAGAGTACATATTTTAGATTCTTGAAAATATTGTATAATATCAGTAGGTAGAATGTAGCTACCTATATTACACAATTTTTTTTCTTTAGTGTCCTTTTTTTAAGTATACACACAGTTTGTATTATCTTACATGCATTTCGACGTTAATGGGGAGGAAAATATAATAATTTTAGATAAAAAAAAATATGTTTCTCCTGTCTAAAATCAATTTTTTGGAATAACTCAAGATGAATTGATTATTTTGTAGAATTGTTTTTAATTTTTAGCTACAGAGTTAAATTTTTCAAATTCCATCAGATTAAAACTACTTTTATGGTTGTGTCACACCTTCCATTAAATTGGCTGTTTTTTATGTAAAACACGGCAACTCTTACATAACGTTGCCAGTCTTACCGTTGCTTTGTTGACAGAAGAAGAAACAGCTGTTTACCACCACTTGATTATTCGATTAATCGTAAGTCGACTTACCTATCCCTATGTACTGTACTACCACTTGATCATCGGCAAATATTAAATATTCACATATTTTTTTTTAATATTTTCTATAAAAAATTGTTAAAAACGTTGTTATGGACCCAAATTTGAGAAATGTAGGAAGAACTTATTCATATTTTCCATAGAATAAATACTAATAATTGTTATAATTAATTAAAATTACAGCTTAAAGATTTCCTTACATTATACAACAAAGTCACGGAACTTTGCTTTAACCGATGTGTGGATAATATGAATGAAAGGGATTTGGCCAAGCATGAGGTAAGAATCAACACAAACTGTAATTGGAAATTTAAAGAATAATATATTCCATTGTTTAAATATTCTCTTGCAGGAAACTTGTGTAAATCGTTGTGTGAATAAATTTGCTTTATTCAATCAAAACATGATGAAAGTTTATGTTGAAGTACAATCGGAAATCAATCAAAAACGTTTGCAAGAAATTGAGGAAGGCCAAAAAGTGATACAACAAAACCAGGAGCAACAACAACAAGCACAACAGTCACCATCCAACAAGAGCACAATTGCTGAAGAAGTTAAAAATGCATTGACCTCCACCCCGAAATTGTTATCGTAGAAATATTTACAAATTATGTTTATGAGTTACAGTTAGATGCTAGTGTTATTTTTGATATTGTTTAATTAAATTTATTTTCCAGTAAGAATGGATGAAATATGTCTTTTAGCCTTGATTGGCTTGCCAGCTGTTGGCAAAACCAGTTTCTGTAAATTGCTGTTACAAATTGAGTCAGTGCCCTTTAACGTTTGTCACATCTGTTATGATGAGTTCATTGACATCTCAGAGGAGAATCTGGTTAATTATAAAGAGCAAAGGGATAAGTTATTAAATACGTTAGATAATAAAATAGGGGCTTGGAAAAGTTTTAAAATTTTTAATGAAACTTTGATGAAATCTTGTTCTGCCTACAAGGATAATGGCAGGAATCGCTTATTAATATTGTGTGATGACAATCACTTTTATGGTAGCATGCGTTATCGCCTATACCAAATTGCCCGTAAATATGGTTTGTCATATGGCCAAATTTTCTTCGATTGTACCCTGGATTTGGCACTGCAACAAAATACTGTGAGAGAGGGATCACATAGAGTACCCGAAGAGGTCGTTACAAGAATGTATACAAAATTGGAAGTTCCAGACCTGAAGAACAATTCCTGGGAACAAAATACTTTCACTTTGGCTACTGAAAATTTAAATAAGGAATATATTTCTTTGAATTTAGTTCCATTTATTGTTAGAAATTTTGCTGTGCCTCTAAAACCTTTAGAATTTCCAGCTACATGTCCCACAAAACAATCTCAGGTCCATGAATTAGACTTGTTAATGAGAAAACACATAGGAACTGTAATTAGTAAGATTCCACCAAATGTAAATAAGAAACAAATTGCTTTAGTTTTAAATGATAGTCGTAAGGACATTCTTGATGATTGTAAAGCTTTGGAACACTTGGTAGATGCTGATATAAGGAACTTTTTACAGTTATTTGAAGGCAAAATTGAATCTGTTTTAAATGGTCATAAATTAGCTGAAGATAAATAGTAATAAAGAATGTTTTCAATAAAACTTTTACAAAAAAGTGCAATGACTTTCGTTAGAATAACAATGCTTTGGGGTCCCCGACAGAAGTCCAAACTTAAACATTTGTTAAAAAAGTGTCTTTAAATCCATTTCTTGATTTCTTGTATCGTTTTGTTTATTTTTGAAGTACATATAAACTACATTTAAATATTCGTATATATTCTAAATTCTTATTGATTTAAAATGCTTTCATCGCACTTATTTTTTTTACTTTATTTTATTTCATCTATTAACTAGAATATTTTTTCAATACATACTAAGAATGAGAGCAACTACAAAATACAACAAGTTTTTCATGTTTCAGTTTATTTTTTAATTAATGTAGTTGTTTGTGTTTTTTCAATCATTTGAGAATGTAATAAATTTGAGATATGATAAAAACGACTTGAGCAAATAAACAAACACAGGTGGGCAAGTGTAAAGAAGTTCGTTTGAAAAGGTTAATGACAATTACTTGTAAAACGGAAATGTATGTTGAACTGTAAAAGCTTCTTGAAGTAGAGGAAAGAAAGGGAGTCTCAAGAAGAATACTGTAAGACAGACTCAGAATTCTTTCAACAAAACTTTCTTTTGCTGCAATTTTGTTGCACAAGTTTCACCCGTGGTTTCTTTATTTGCCAGGTTTTTTCTGTACATATTTATATCTATTTTTTCTTCTTCGAAAATGGAGTATATAAGTTTGGAGAGTATTCTTGATAATATATGCTGGAAATATTCATATTTCATACAGACAATAGTAAATGTATTTTTCGGATAATATAATAAAAATATTTCGCTTTTTTCTCATTAATACTACAAATATTTACTCCAATGCCATAGACCACAATGTTGATGGTTAGTTGTTAACCAAAAAGAGATTCAAACAATGTGGGCTACAAAGGAGTTATATTCATTTCGATCGGCCTTTGAAAATATTTTTCCAATTTCTCTTGGCCTTTTTATATATTCATTTTGTAATATTTTTTTTTTTTTTTTTTTTTTTTTTGAAATCTTTCTCAACTATTTAAAATGGCAATGTTTATGTAATTCTGTTGTTTTAATAATATTAAATTTAGACAAAAACAAAAAAACTTAATTTATAGTATTGCGCTTTAGGTAAAAATCAAGGGATGTTGTTACTTCAAGGTGGAGAATTCCCCAAAGGAACACATTTTCAATTTGTAAAGATAATTTCTTCCATTTTGTTAAGGGAAGTAAAATGCACTTATTTTGTTTGTTTTCTTTTCTTTGGCAATGTCTAAATATATATAAAAAATTTGCACGCTTCGGAAAAAATGTGTTAGTATATTGTTTGTAAAAAAAATTAGTCTTTTGTTTTGGAATTTTAAACCAATTATTAATGGATATTAGTAACTAAGAATTCCCTTACATACATACAAGGAAATCCTTAGTTAGCCAAGTCTTTTTAATGTAAAATACATGAAAAACAGAAACTAGGAATTTAAACCAAAATCAAATTAAGACCAACATTGAAAACAAAATTTGAGTTATCAAACAAATTAGACATAGCACAAAAGAACAACGCTTGTCGGTCCAATTACCAAAAACATAAATAAACTTAATTTCTGTTAAAATCTACATACTACATATTTTTGGAGCACTCATTATATTGCGCAAGAACCATCTAAAATAAAAATCTTGTAATATTCTTGTAAATATGGGCTAAAAAATCTGGGGGTATTTTTTTTGTTTAGAATATTTCTTGGTTGTTTCTAAAACACATCACTTGTTCGCTCACTAGTGTAGTGTTAATACTACGGATTTCACGCTGACCAACGTGACTTTTGCAGATCGATTTGACCTTCCAATGTTTTAGCCAAATAGATGACAAACAATTGGATTAATGCTATACCCAAAGCTATGCCCGCAATTGCATAGAGATTCCGTTCAGCCCATACACGTACAATTTCAATGCACCCACTGGTCCAGATACGTTTACTGGCAGCAGCAACCGAATGGGCCTGGACCTCATAGCCGCACATGATATTAACCAAACCTGAGCTGATGTCAGTGGCATTAATACAACAGCTATAGGGCACCCCACATTTTTCCACAGACGGAGAAGAGCAATTGAAGTATTCATTTTTGCCTGAAACAAAACAACAACAAAAAATTAGTAATAGTCACAGAATGCATTTCAGCACATTATGTTCCGAACACATTGTGATCTAATGCATTTAAGTGTTACATATAGAATCCACTTACTCCAATCCTGATAGCCAGCATTACTGAGACCACAGCACTTGAACTCTTGCTGGGCAAAGTCAATAAAATTCTGCAAATCGGGATCATCACGATATGAGTGTATTATCTTATCTGTAAACGTCTCCTCCAGAAATGAATTCATATTTTGTGGGAAGACAAAACCCATTATTGCAATAGCCATTTCCATAAGGAAAAACAGTAGCAAACACATTGAATAGAATTTGAGCAAACATGTGTTTTCCCTCAAAGCTCCCAGACAACCGGCAAAGCTGACTACGAAAACCACAACTCCGGCAATCATTAGCACCAACGAAATATTCAATATCACATCGTAGAAACTTTCCAAACGCACCGACCCCGTCGATTCCCATTTATCTTTGAAGGCGTACAGGCCAATGGCCAGCAGCAGGCCACCAAACAGCCAGAAAATAAAATTCAACATGAATATCATATATTTGACACATGAACTCACATATGTGAAATTCTGAGAAATTCTAGGATGCATGTCGCGCACTTCGATTCCACAATATCCTCCACTGCCTATGTGATGTCTGTAGTTGCTCATCGGTAGCTGTGTGTATCTCAACGTTTTGTGTCTTTTCCTCACAACTTTTAACACAGATGGTATTTGTTTGGTTGTTCTAATTGGATGTGGCAGTCGAGGGCGCCTTGTAGCTTCCTGTCCTCGATTGTTGTAATAGTGTTGGGATTTCTCGCTGCTGCTGCTGCAGTTTCTACTTGACTAGACAATGCTTTGTTTGCTACGCCTTCTTTTTTGTTTCTCTTGCAAAGAAGACAAACTATAGCCTGCACTTGAGATTCTAATTATTTTCACATCATTGTGTATGTTGTTTTACATATTTAATTGTTTTTTATTTGTTGGTTTAATACACTTTGGCAAGTTTTAGCTTGATTTCTTTATAAAAATTCGATATTTTCTCGTTCGCAAGTGAATATCTCGGTTGGAGTTTCTTTTTGTGTGTGATATGTCAAATTAATTTCGTTGACAGTTGACATATGGCAACGTTGCTGAAGCGAGTGTTGCCAACCTCATATGGGATGTTTCAATTAAAGCAACGGCGTTTGGCGAAAAGCGACGTTTTAATGGGAAAATTGCTATTCCCTCCACCATTAAGTGGGAGGTTTAATAATTTTATAATTCTGTTTTCAAACCTTGAAATATTCTTCGGATAGTTTATATATTCGTGATCCGTGTAAATTTTCTTATTATTATTGATTTAAAGGTGTCTGCTAAAATAAGGATAGAGCTCGCTCTGTTAAAGGTGACGATGGAATTTTGCGAAGGCATTGATATTGTACAGACTATTTTAAATTTACAATATTACCAAAATAAAGCCAGTCGATGAAAAAAATCCTTCTATGAAATTACTTTGGTTATGTTCCTTTACGGCCAATAATCTTCAACTTACTAGAAACGTGTTACTCAAAATAGCAGCGCAATTCAAATTAGAGCCATGAATACATTCTACTGCTTTTGCAACTTTCATCAGTTTGAAAAATAGAAGAACAGAGCATTTATCTCCACCAATTCAGATAACGATTACTCTTTTTTTGGGAACCACCCTAATATTTACATTAGGTAAATATTTATAATCTTAAATCATAATACGACGAATGACGAATAAGACGATATGATATTTATAAATTTTGTGAGGTACCAGACTGAGTGGACCGAGGCTGCTCAGAAATAAAAAAAATAATTTTGGACATGTAAATTCCGAACATTTACCTCTTGAAATTACGATTTTCATTTATATATGCGCAATTGTTCCATACGACTCTAATGTTTACATTAGTCATATTTTTATAACTGGGGGGACTGCGCGACTGGCTGAGGTTCACTGCAACACAATCAACTGTTTATTTCATTCCGTAGTAACTATATCGGCTTGTGGATTTAGTCACTGAGAGCGCGTCCATAGGTCAATTTGATCGAATATTTTTGGACAATCTTTTTTGCTGCCAGACGACAACAATAATTTGCCACCCATAACATGGTGTTGTTACCTTTGCAATGAGAACGAACATTGTGCCGCTGCTCTTGATTGTTTGTGATAAAGTAAGGGAATGCTCTCTCTTTACTGCGCTGATAAGACAGAAACGAAAGTCTCAATTGCCGCCTTATAGCAATACTTGCAGTATTTATTAAACGTTCCTGGATTTCGGTCGGAAGGGTTGTAGAAGGCAATCATGAACATTTTGTTGCGTTTAATCGTGTTCAGTTGTGATCCTTTTGGATTATGGCGTCGTTTTCTTATATATCCAGCAAGGAATATGAGCCATAACATATACGATCGTCTCAAAACTAAAGCAGATCAAAAGGTTGATTCTATGCGTGAGCTGGTCTTGCGTATTGGATTGGTGGCATTTGTTGTGGCGCTGATAATTTGGACGGCAGTGTTTATGTATGCCTCGTTTTATTATGCATACATGCCGGCAATTTCACACACCCGTCCCGTGCACATGCAATTTAAGTAAGTTGTTGAGCAGATGAAGAAAGAAAAGTAAATTGAGATTAATCGAAATTTCCATTTTCAGAACCTGTCTAGACACCAGTTCGCCCTGCACATTTCCCCATGCCCATGTCTCGTTGACCAAGAAACAACAGCTGCTTATGGTGGGTCAATCGTACCGGGTAATTGTACAAATCGAAATGCCTGAATCACCACAGAATTTGGATTTGGGCATGTTTATGGTTTGTGGAGAGATGCGTGACATAGAATCAATGTTACGAGGCCACTCTTGCCGTTCGGCAATGATGCGCTATCGATCACCATTGATACGCATGATTTCAACATGGGCCCTAAGTCCTTTGTATGTTTTGGGTTTTAGAGAGGAATTCCAACGAGTATCGGTAGAGATATTTTCAAATTATTTGGAACAAAAACATCATCCCATTACGGATGTCTATGTGGAGCTGCAATCGCAAAAGATACAATTCTACACGGTGTCTTTGCATATTGTGGCCGATTTTACGGGTAAGTTTATACGACACTATATCTTTAAATTTTATTATTGATATTATACTTCATTGAGATTTTAAAGATGCCTGGAGAGAAGTAAGTGGGAATCAAACCCAATTGTTGGACTCGATTGCAAAGACGCAGGATATTCATTGTCATAGTGTCCATTTCTTTCTTGGTCTTAAATGAAATATGGTCAAAATGCAGCCACTTTTCCCAGTTTCCGACCAAGATATGGAAAAAAGAAGGAAGCGTAAAAGTTACGCTTGCCCTTTCCCAAATACTATTTTATCTATTATTCTTGTTCGATTGCAGGTGCACTTAAAGGAACCCACAAGTTCCTTTTTGCGGAGGATTATATATTTGGCAATTTCTTCCGATTGACCGAAATAGTAGAAGGGTACGGGTGAAGAGATGTTTTGCAATAGCCAGGAGCTAAAATCCACCTTCATCTGAATCATGACTTTAGAATCAGTCGCATAAACTAAAGACACAAAAAATCAAAGCTAATACAGTTTCAGAGTGAAACGAAATAAAGAGGCATAGATGTCGAACTATACTACTGTATAACATTATTAGGCATAAGGCTAGACAGTTATTTTATAAAGAAATTCCAATTTTCTCCCACATCCCTTTGGTGGTACAATTCCTCAATAATCATTCTTATCACCCTATCTACTTTTTCTTCTTCATAATTACACCACTTTTTCCTGCTCTCCTGTAAATCTTAAAAATCAAAGCAACCCTTCAAACAAATTTCAAATAGTATAGCTGGCTGCTGCAGCTACGCATCCTTTAACTTAAATATTACAAATTATAATTATCTTTTAATAATACGCAATTTTTCTTTTCTTTCTAGGTCTACGTTATATTATGCACAATTGGCCAGTCATGTCTGCCATAGTGGGTAAGTTTTTTTATTGTGGACCATATTGGCTATTATTTCATTAACATTACCCCTTCATTTTCCCCTTTCAGCCATAAGCACAAATTTGTTCTTCATCCTGGTGATATTCTTGCTAAGCTGGTATCATTGGTCCAATGCAACATGGATTGTAAATTTACAAAAGAAATACGAATTGTTTACACAAAAAGTTCAAGACAAAGCTGGGCGAGCTTTAGAGTCGCCGAAATATTCCTCTGAAAGTCTGCAAGATGACGATGAACTGGCTTTCCTAAATGATGACAAAGATATCGATGATATCAGTGCACAACAAAAAATGAGTGCACAACAGGGAACACTGCGTCAAAGGAAACTGTAATACGATACCGGGCCCTATAATTTCCATGGAGGAAATTACATTTGCTTTAAGACTCCAGGGTATTTTCATTATGAAAATAAATGCCATGGAATTCACAGGCACAAAATCTATTAAAGATTAATTCTTTACGTTTTTTGAAACTACAAAGACAATAATGAATTAAGAAGACTATTATAAATATTAAATATTTTTGTAAAATACACTAGAAAATAAGTTTTGTAAAAACTATTTATTAGCAAGCAAATAAATGCATTTTTTAAAGGAAATATGAAAACAATTCGTGAAAATTATCTTGATTCACTAAAAGTCTACTCAGTTTTGACCTTGACTGTTTTTTTTTTTTTTCCTAATAATGGCTATTGGAACCACCATCCAAAATACACCACTAAAATTTTGTTGCTTTCCCTTCCTAGATTAGTTGTGATAACAAGCCACTTGAAATACATTCAAAAGAAGAGATAAGACCATCGATTTTTTATGGTTCTAGTGTTAAACACCAAAACGTTTAATCACTTTTATTTTGGCTGTTTTCTATGAAAAGCTTATTCTATATCAAAATGCTTGTAGTTAGTTGGCGATTTTATATTCCCAATTCTTAATGGAAATATACCACACTACGTAGACTTTTACCCTCATGCATTAAATCGAAGGCTTCATTGATCTTATCCAATTGCATGGTGTGAGTAATGAATTCATCGACCAGTAAATCCTTCTTCATATAGTCTTCAACCAATTTGGGCACATCACGGCTACTCTTCCAGCCACCAAAAGCTGAACCCTTCCATGTGCGTCCAACAACCAATTGGAAGGGACGTGTTGAGATTTCTTGTCCCGAGGCGGCAACACCAATAATAACCGATGTTCCCCAGCCTTTGTGAGTGGCCTCCAAGGCGGCGCGCATGGTATTCACATTGCCAATACATTCGAAAGTGTAGTCGAAACCACCATCCATTAAATCAATCAAATAGTTTTGTATGGGTCCCTTGTCTTCAACATCCTTGGGATTAATGAAATCGGTAACACCGAATTTCTTGGCAACTTCAAATTTACTGGGATTAATGTCAATGCCATAGATTTTCGAGGCGCCAGCCTTTTTACAGCCCAAGGCAACGGCCAAACCTACAGCGCCTAGACCCCAAATGGCACAAGTACTACCGGGTTCAACCTTTAAGAAAAAATAGGTATTATTTCGAAATGTTTGAAATATCTTATAGGAATTATTTACCTTGGCGGTATTGAGAGCGGCACCATAACCAGTAGGAATGCCACAGCCTAGCAAGCAAACCTTGTCCAGAGGAGCTTTTTCATCAACCTGGAATTGAAAACATGGAAATTAACATAAATCTGGGGGAGTTTGAGGGGGGTCGATAGTATGATCGCTCTTTTGTGATCTATGTTGCTGCACAAACTAAAAAGAAAATTGACGAACTTATTTTAAACATAACCTAGATTTAATTCTTCCATAGCTAAATATTACGAATACGTTCAAAATGTTAGCCACCCTCCAACGCCACTGAAGAAATGTTCATTCCGTTTATATAAAATATTATAGCTTAGATTGTTTTGGATTTTTACGCAAGGAGTTCTCATGTTCTGAATTTCATAAAAAAAATCAAATTTAGGGGAGTTCTTAGGTTTAGAAATTCTAAGATTCTAAAATATACTTTGAATTTAATTAAATATTTTAATTTAATATATATGATGTGCAAATGAGCCTTTTTATTCTATCCATAATTGAACTCAAACGCCAAGCTTCTAATATAAGAAGTTAAAATTTTTGTTCGCAAACCTCTCTGATGCTGATTCACATCAACAAAACAAATTGGGGGGCTGGAGAAATATTGCCCTATCAACATAGATAATTATGCTTATCACGTATGAACAAATACTTCGCTTAGCTACTACATTCAATACATCACAATACAATATGCAAGTCATGCCATCATAGCAAAAACATTCGATACATATAGATCTATAGATCAAGACATAGTCTTTCATCTTACCTTAGCCAACGAGATATCAGCAACGACGGTGTATTCCGAAAAAGTCGAAGTACCCATAAAATGATAAACAGTTTTACCCTTGCAAGTAAAACGTGATGTACCATCAGGCATTACACCTTGACCCTGAGTAACACGAATCTTCTGGCACAGATTAGTTTTGGTACTCTTGCAGAATTTGCACTCGTCACATTGCGGAATGTATGTGGGGATAACATGATCGCCGGGTTTGAACTTGGTAACTCCCTCACCGACACTCTCAACAATGCCGGCACCTTCGTGACCCAAAACGACGGGGAAAATACCTTCAGGATCAAAACCACCCAATGTGTAGGCATCCGTATGGCACACACCGGTGGCAGTTATTTTAATGCGTACTTCATGGGCTTTGGGTGGAGCCACTTCGATCTCTTCAATAACCAAAGGTTTTTTGGCTTCCCAAGCTACGGCAGCTTTACATTTAATAACCTAGTTGCATTAATTAAATGGAAAATGTTGTTGTTATAATTATAGTTTTTATATGCTGATAAGTTCACTCGAACTTTTCTAGACTTACTTGTCCCTCTGTTGCCATTTTTTGCGGGTTCTGACGTCGATGATCACCGTGAGCAAATTGAACAAACAAAACCGACGAGTAAATTACGACCGGCTAGTGATGATAAAATATCAATAGCACAATATTACTGTTGGCGACAACAGGGTGATTCATACCATTCACGATAATAAACAATCGAAGGGAAGACACAACCTAAATAGGATGACACCATGTGGTTTTGTATTTAACTAACGGAAATATTTAATTTTGGAACTTTACTTTTGATTTTAAAGCCATATAGAGTAGTGCATAAAGAGTAGTGTAGTGTTATTCTCTTTTGGAGGAAAACTCTGAGAAGTAAACAGACGGAAACTTGCAAGCAAATAGTTGGTTTGTCAACAGAAAATATTTTGCCCATAATAAAAATGAATAAAGCACACAATGTTTACAAATGAGCAAAAAAAAAACATAAAACATTTAGGCTTGCTCTATTTAAAATAAATTGCTCTGCCCGAACTGCAAGAATTTAAAAGTTTTTACTATGATAACCGATTTTTCTTTTATGATATCGAATAAAATTGCAAATATACTAAATTCTTCTTGCAGGTTCTGGAACAGAGCAAATATGTTTTAAAATTGCTTGCCCAAACATAAATCACGGAAGGAGAATAAGTTATGCAGAACTTTTTTATTAACAGACGACTTCCCATAACAATTTTCAATAATTGCTACAAATTTTAAGGTAACTAAAGCACAGTAAAATAAAGAAGGTGACGTCCGTTTGCAACTTTTTCAAAATTATACATTTGACAACATCTCAATGTCAAAATGTTTATTTATAAAAACATGACGTATACACAGATAAGAGATGGGAGCCTGTTTTCAATGAAGTTAAGTTAGACCGGATAAATACAGGAAAATACAGAGTTGGATATTATTTTTATGCCCTCCACCATAGTACGGGGGTATATTATGTTTGCCATTCCGCTTGTAACATCTCGAAGTATACATTTTACACCCCAGAGAGTATATGTATTTGTGTTTTCTTTTTGGGGACTGTTATTCAGTTTATTATTTTAACATTAAATTACTTAATTCGATTCAATGGTTGATAAAAATGTGGTGTGCACTACAACATTGCCGACAGTAAAAGAGACCGATCAATCCTTGATTTTAAGCAAGTTCCTAAAAACATGCACTTTTTATACCCTCCACCATAGTATGGAGGGTATGTTAAGTTAAGTCCATTGGTAACTGCTCGAAATATACATTTTAGACCCCACAAAGTATATATGTATATTCTTGATCAGCATAAAATTCTATGTCGATTTTGCAATGTCCGTCCGACTGTGGAAATTACTCTAGCTTCCGAACGAAATGAAGTAGGTTGATAACATTCCTCTCAAATGTAAATTATGTCAGCAGGACTTTTGGTATTGAAAGTGGGCCATGTAGGTCAACGTTTTGGTATAGCCCCCATATAAGGGCACCTCCCGATATTCGGTATTTTGATGATTTAAGCGACATTGTTCACCGGAATTGTTTCAAATTTGGTATTTGAAGTTCGTGACGAATACTACAGCATAGGACAGAAAATTGTCTGTGCAGGTCCAAGTCTTTGTATAACCCCCATATAGCGGCACCTCCCGATATTCGGTATTTTGATGATTTTAGCGACATTGTTCACCAGAATTGTTTCAAATTTGGTATTTGAAGTTCGTAATGGACTCTACAGCCTCAGATAAAAAATTGCCTGTACAGGTTTACGTTTTGGTATAACCCCCATATAATGGTATATCACTATGTCCGGTATTTGAATGATTTTAGCTATATTATTCACCGATTTTTTTTTTCAAATTTAGCTTTTGAATATTGCAATGGCTTATGACCAAAGTTGCCACGGCGCCGTATAGACCTAATATAACGGCTACGTTCGGCTTTTTTAAGATTTTAACAGAATTTTTAACGGAATTTATTTTGATGTTGCAAAGTGGTCAATCCCTTCATTTATTTTTTTGAAAATTGCCAAATTCGGCGAAACTTGCAGCATTTTTACTTGTAATAATTTGAGGTTAACTTGATTAAAATGTACCATGATTGGTAAATCGAGGAACAAAATCGTTAAATTAAGCAAATAATTCTGAACCCTATTTATGGCAAATATGAATTTTTCAGCTCAATCATGAATAGCTGCATTGAATTATATTCCCAAGCCTTTTTCTTGAGAGTTCATTTCACCAATCATTAATAATTGTGGAGAAATAACTTGCGAATGTGGCAACACTAATGGGTCTTTTTCGTACCTAGTGTCTCCTATTTGTTGGGCAAATTTGTTGGCTTATGTTTCTTATAACAGTAAAGCAACTTAAATAAATAAATTAGCAAATGTGCAGATTAAAATACATGTGTTGTATGTTCATAGGTGTTTACCGCTCTCTTAGCAACAATTGCCTGTTACGAAGGCTATTAATTATCAGTGGAAATATTCCTAATAAACTCCACGATTTTGGTTGTGATGTTGATTGAAAAAATATTCTGCAAAAGTATCCACCAATACATTTGATCAACTTAACTTGTCATTGCTAAATGACTTACTCTAGATAATTGTGTAACCCTAATTATGATTGTTTCCATTTGCAATCTTAACCCCCAACTAGCTGGTGACAATACGATTACCTTACGATTACCTTACGTAACGCAGCAATAGTTCACAATATTGTTTCACATCCCACCCCCTTGTACATAACCTCAAAAACAAACGTTTGGACTTTTCTGCCAATGCTCACAAGTCTGTTGGTTAGACTTGGAAACATGATTGCTCTATTCTTGTATTCATCGGGGTATATTTTCGGTAAATAAGCCTGGAAGCTGTTTTGGTATTTGGGTGCTTAAGAAAACCTTCAGCTTGTGTATATGAGGGTCGTCTGATGTTTGTTGCTAACAATGGTTTCATTTGTTCTCCCTCTCTCTCACACTCTCTGCCTATCGATATGAGTCGGGATGTGTGAGTGTGTGAATGCATTCCCATGAAATGCCTAGCCATGGCAAACGAACTGACTCAACTATTGCTGCTGCTACCACTTCTACTGTGTAAAATCCTTTTTACCGCAAAACGGAAACGGATGTTAACAAATAGCCAACGGAAATTATGCTGATTAGAATGCCAGGAGGCAGAAATTTAAACGTGTTACTACTGCCACTACTGCCTAGCTTTTGCCCAATGCCAATGTTAGGCAATGACGATAATGTAGGTTCTGTCGCACATACACACACACAAACATACGAACATACATAATTATGCCATTGTTGGTGGGGTGAGTGGTAATTTCAATGTAGCCATGAAATCCTAGAAATTCAAGGCAATAGGAATAATAAGAAGGACATTCCTATGGGCTATCAAACTGGAGACAAAGGGATATGCCATGGGGTAACTGTTGTGTTTGTTGGTATTCGAAAAGAGACGCCACCTTGCCCTAATTAAATCGCCCGGTTAATTTGATCATCGTGAACTTTTAACCCAACTCTCGAATACATTTCTATTTGCTACTTCAACAAACCGAATGACATCTAAATGCCCGAGAATCTCTAGTATTGTCAGACGACCATAAAACACAAGTTTGTTTACCAACTAACCAGGTGTTTATCTTCTCGATGTAAGTGGATATTTGAAAATAAGGATAATTTTTGAAATGTGTTCAGAGACGATATCCTGGGTTGATTATTTCTTTAAATCCATTTTTTATGGTCAGTTGGTCCTTGAGAAGTATTCTTTAAAAAATCCACTTTTTATGGTCAGTTGGTCCTTGAAAAATATTGTTTAAAAATCCACGTTTAATGGTCTATTGATCCTTGAAAAACAGTATTTAAAAATCCACGTTTGTTTGTCTATGGGTCCTTGAAAAATATTCTTTAAAAAATCCACTTTTTATGGTCAGTTGGTCCTTGAAAAATATTGTTTAAAAATCCACGTTTAATGGTCTATTGATCCTTGAAAAACAGTATTTAAAAATCCACGTTTGTTTGTCTATGGGTCCTTGAAAAATATTCTTTAAAAAATCCACATTTAATGGTCTGTTGGTCCTTGAAAAATATTCTTTAAAAATCCACGTTTAATGGTCTATTGATCCTTGAAAAATAGTATTTAAAAATCCACGTTTGTTTGTCTATGGGTCCTTGAAAAATAATCTTTAAAAAATCCACATTTAATGGTCAGTTGGTCCTTGAAAAATATTCTTTAAAAAATTCACGTTTCATGGTCTGTTGGTCCTTGAAAAATATTCTTTAAAAAATCCACGTTTCATGGTCTGTTGGTCCTTGAAAAATATTCTTTAAAAAATCCAGGTTTCATGGTCTGTTGGTCCTTGAAAAATATTCTTTAAAAAATCCAGGTTTCATGGTCTGTTGGTCCTTGAAAAATATTCTTTAAAAAATCCAAGTTTCAGGGTCTGTTGGTCCTTGAAAAATATTCTTTAAAAAATCCACGTTTCATGGTCTGTTGGTCCTTGAAAAATATTCTTTAAAAATCCACGTTTATTGATCTGTTGGTCTTTAAAAAATATTCTTTAAAAAATCCACGTTTATTGGTCTTTTGGTCCAGAGAAAATATTCCATTGGTCCCATCTAAGGCTCAAACAATCCTCCTCTTTTCATATGACCCATTTCTGTAATATCTGGTGCCTTATTGGAATCCCATTGATATGGAATTCATTCCGCCACTTCAATTATTAGTGTTATTATAAGTAATTAACAAAACTTTCAACTTCCCCTCCTCCCACCCTCTGCACATTGAAATTACCAACAAATGTTCCAATTATTTATAGTTCCGAATGAAAACGAAATTAAGAATATTTTTCCACTTAACGAAAATTGCCAGAAAAAAAAAACAAAACAGTGCAAACGGAAAGCCATACATGTCGATGTTTGCCAGGATGCATCAGGATATATTTCCACTCACATGCCTCGCAAATTTTTGCCAAAAAAAGCCTCAACTTCACGATAGCGCGCACTTCAAGGTAGAATCTAGAAAATTGCCAACAGCACTTTAAGAGCATTCAAGTGCAGAACAATGGAGAAGGAACAAAACAACAAATTGAGAAAACGAAACGAATTGTATGGGAATAATAAAAACAATGGAGAGAACAGGCGAATGGTAAGAAAACAAAACAAACAAAAA